CCGTGCTGCGTGTTCATGTGTCTTGCTCTTGCAGAGACTGGCCCAGTGCTCCAGGAAAGAGAGGTGAATCCATGGATTGGTTGCACAGAAAGGTTTATGATCAATTGGATATCAATCAAATAGCAGGACCTTCTAAAACGGGCTTTTCTGGTTTTAACATGCAGCAGCTCATGCAAATGGTTCGTTAAATGGCTACCAGTGTTAGTGGGAGCTTTTGATTTCCCCTGGGCCCCAGGCCACTAGGGAGTATAATCTTGCCATAACCAGTTTGATTAGGTAACCTTGTGCCCATGTTTTTTTGAAAATAAAGATTGTGGTGAGTGTTGACTACTGTTGCGAGTCCTAAAAGTGAGACTTTTTTTTTTAATTGCACTTTTCTATTGTGGGCCAAAGTTAGTGCCTTACTACGGTAAGTCTGGGCAAGTCCAAATTGCAGGAGAAGAGAATTAGGTCTCTTGAGTTTCCTTGTGGTGTAGTACAGTTGAATTGTCACTTATGTTACTGCTGGGAACAGTGTTCTTGAAGTTCCAGTGCCCGGAATCAGGAGAATCTCATGTTCATTGAAGGAAAAAAAAAAAAAAAAAAAGCAGAAATTTACGTAGCTTTTGTGATTGTGGAGAAAACCTAAAAACAAAATGCCAATGCTAAGAGCTAAAAAGTAGCAAGGCAAAGAAAAAGATTGAAAATGTTTTACAGTTTTTAGAGAAATCACATGATTGTTTCAGGCGAATCCTGCCAGTTTTCTGCATGGTGGCTGGGGAAGCCCAGCCCCTGGGGCAGTGCCGCTGCTGCAGACCCGCACCGGGGCGAAAGCAGGACGAGCCTGGGGTCCTTGCTGGGGAGGGTTGTCGAGCGTGTCCATCCCGACTGAGCAGCTTCTCTAAATGAAATGTAACGCTTTGGCTGAGGCTCTGCCTTGACGTTTATTTTTCTGAAAATCCAGCGAGGGTGCCCACGCTTAATGCAGGAGGGTCTGTTGTTTGCATATACTTACCCTGCTGATGACAGCTTAATAAGCTCCTTTATTTTGTGTTTTTATTCAGTACGCTTGTCAGCTTTTGTGTGGAGCCTGACCTCTGCTTTCCCCCTTCCCCCCCCCAGCTTGTCTGAAAGGGGCACCTCTGTCTCTATAATTTGTAGTAGAAGGGAATTGTAAAGGGACGTGAACTGACGGGTTGTACCGACACCGATTCCTAAAAAGGAATATAACTTTCTCAGGGGCTGATCCTGAATGCCCAGGGTGCCTAAAACCATTGAAGTCAGTGGGAGTTTTTGGTGCATAAAGAATAATGCAGGAGAGAGCCTTTGCGACTGAGAAAATCCAAACAGTTGCTGAAGAATTCAGTAAACAGGACTACTTTAAATGGATTACGGCACACAATGTGCGAACAGTTAAACATTTCATATCTGGCTTACGTTTTTCTAAACAGAAGGAAAGGCATCCCAATATTGTGACTGTTTGCTATTAGATCCTACGCAAAAATATATTGGTGGCAATGTATTTGTATTTAAATGCAGTGCCGTGAGATATCAAAAAAGACGTGGGATTGTATTTCTTTCCATTCATTTAATTGAAACCATGCTGAAAAAGCGTATGAAAACCATCACTCTCGAATATATCTAAAATGTAGTTTTGTGATACTGAAAAGATGTCCATCCTAACAATTTCAGAGAGTGGAGATATTTGGGACCATCTTTTGATCCCATTCATTTTCCCCACGTGCGTCCAGATATCTGTTTCTTACTTCACTGTCTGGGAATACAGACCATTTTTCTCATTTCAGACCTTAAAAACGTATTGGAAAAAAACAAAAAGGGAAAAAGTATTTTGGGTAACACTTTGCTACTTGTTGTATCTATCTAATAAATCAGCTTCTCAAACAAAAGGCCTAAGAATTACCTTTCTGGTAATTGGTGCAACTATATATATATTCCATATTTTGTAACATCTGTATTCTGGGTGGTGGTTCATCAGGAGGGGATGGATATAACCTTTTTAGATGCTTAATTGGCTGTGGGACATGCCCAGTTTGTAATCATGGTAATTGTACATACACATATGGCCATGTAATTACATGTGCATTTTTGCATTTAGTCTCAGGACTTCATTTACAAAAGTATAAATGCAGCCCAATAAATCCTTTACATTTCAAACTTGTGCTTCTATAACTCTATATAATTATGTAATGACACTACATCTGGAGAGGTTTCACTTAAGTAAAAGCAATAAAGAACTCAGATTATATATTTTTTGAGTTAGACATGTACTAACTTCCGCAGCACTACGTTTTTAGTTTGTAAGATTGATTAAATTCAGCCATACTTGTGCAAAAATTTTTTTCTTATGGGAATAAAGAGCAATTTAATATGAAACCAAAACTGGATCAGGTCCTTTAAGCTTCTGCAATGACTGAAGTGACTAAGTGGGCTCTTATATAGTAAAACATGCACCAAAGACATGGATACTCCGGCAGTGAAGGCTTTTGCGAAGGTACAGTTGAATGCTGAAATGAATTACTTACAAGCAAAGTGCCATCGCCCTGAGAACAAATCTAAGTCATTGTTAAAACTATTAGAATTCAATCATTGAGATAGAATACATACAAATATACTGTAATTCATTTCTACTGATGTGTTAATATCCGCATAAATAGATAATGAGACTACTTTCTCGATATTTTGTGTGTATGGATACCTATGTATCATGCTTTTACAGTCAAATAAATGTATGACTGCCATTTGTCTTCCTTATTTCTGTTCCTAGAGTAGTTTTCACAAATGTTGAGAATGCCTAATGAAGACTGATACCCTTTTTGTGTTCATTGTTACTGTGAATTAACATTTATTGTGATACTGTGATTTTCCAGCCTGTATTCTTTGTTAATTGCCATTATGGCTTTTTTACCAATAGATAACGTTAGCATACTATAGACAAGAACCAAATTCTGCAAATAATGCAGAAACAGATGTTAGATTCAGACACTTAAAACTGAGAATTTTCAGAGTTGCTGAGTTTGATCCTGCCTTCTTAGTCTGCATCCACACAAAAGATAACTCAAGTGTCTAGTAAGAATTGCAAAACCAAGCTCATGATCCCAAGACGTATACTGTAATTAAAATTTTCTTTTACTTTCATTCTTTGTTATTGCTCAAGGTTTAAACATAATGATTGTTCTGGTGTGATCTTCTAAGATAGCTTGCAGCACACAGTTTTGACTGTTGTTAAATGAGCTGGACAAAAATGGTATCACAGATGATAAGGAACAAACCCTACAACCAATCTGAATTACTTTAGATTAATAAATTATTGCTGTTGCAATTGTTGTCATGGTTGTGGCAGTAAACAAAAAAAAGGCCTGTTTTCTTATTTCAGATGTTCATATCTGCATCTCTCACAAATTCTCTATTGTGCATCGATGCTGAAATCTTTATGGCATGTTTTAAAATAAAATCTTCTAGCTCTTTTTGTTTAGTTTAATATCTGTGTTTTAGCAGCTCTTTTGAAATAGAGCTCTGTTCTTACACCAAAAAGAATAATTGTTTACTTCACTTACATTTCTGGAGCACTTTTTTGTCATTTAACTGTAGACAACTGTACTTAGAGCTAGCAGAGTGGTTCATAACAAATCACATATTTGCTGACTTTAGCCGCTCTTTTTGCTTTTTTTTGTCTGTCAGGGTCATGAGTCATATGAATGCGCTTGATATGCAGATATATTTGCAGTGGTTGTTTGCAGTCTCACCCAGCTCTGTCAGTTGATTGCATTCACTACCCGGGATCCTGGCATTCCTGGTGAATCCGTGCTCCTCGCTCTGGTATGGATGAGCCTGACTTCTGCAGGGCCGTATCCAAGTCCCCTCAAGCTTAGCGGGGGCCCTTGTCAGCTTTCCAGAGCTTTTTAGAACGGAAAGAAGTTTGAAGAAGAAACAAAGAGGCAAACAAACAAATTACTCAGAGAAGGCGGTAGATGAACAGAATCAGAACATGTGTAAAAATTGCTTTTTCACATGGAGCCTTTTACTGTAAGGCTTATTGGACTCGGGGCAGAGATTACATTTAACGTTATTTCTTGTCCATGCTGTTCTAGCTGGAAAGTTGCAGTCAGATCCTTATCAGGCTCATTTAACTGCCTTTCTGCCAGGGCTTGGCAAGGAGTTTGCAAAAGCCTGTCCCCCTAGCTGTGTCAAATGTTGTCCCATTCCATATAAAGTAAGCCATCTTCTCCACAGTCTTGAAATAATCTTCTTGTGCAAGTATTAGTGCAAGGGAAAATTAATCATTCAACTGTCCTTGGAAAGCAAATGCAAGAAGGAGCTGGAGCATGGCTCAAATTGCCATTTCAATTCTTTTAAGTTGCATAAACTGTTTGCAGATAATATTTTTCAGTATTTGCCCTTCTGTAATGATACTGCAAATGAAAGTCCATCAGGTACAGCAAGAGACAATTTCTGGATGGGAGAAGATAACTTTTGGCATTCCAATTGCTTTTTAAGCTACTGTGTCATTTAACCACATATTGCCAGCCAGTGCACAAGTAGTAGTCTCGTAGGAAATGTCATTAAAAGGTTTTTTGCAATGTCTTTTAGGCAGAAAATGATTCTTATTTAGCCAGATAATGCATAGGCTAAGCTAATTTTCCTCTGACAGAATTCTGTTTCTGCATTCATGGATATTTTTAGATATTATCTGGTTTTCTTACACAGCCATTAGTATAATATCCTGCGCAGGGGGGTATGCAGAAACCACTTAACTAGCCTTGTGCTGTATGATGCCCACAGAGACTGTGCTAACTGATTTAAGAGCTTCCTTCAGGGCTTTCAAGGGAGCACTCCTCAGATGTGAGGATACAAAAGCTATTGGGGGAAGACTTTGAGGCTGTAAAATGTATAGAGTTCGGAGCCTTGTAAGAAATGCTTACTTTGCACCTCATCCACGGAGAAAAGTAAAAGCATGCCAAGATATGTTACACTGATAATTGCCTCACTGTGATTTTTTTCAGCTCTATGGCTATTGTTACCAGGATAGCAACGATATCCCAGACACACTGACGACCATCACTGAACTAGGCTCGCCTTTAGAGATGATTCAGCTTTTACAGACGTCCTGGGAAGACAGATTTCGAGTAAGTAACAACATTTTTTGAAAGGACTTTTAAGACAGCTGTGAATACAGAATAACTTCAAGCATGAAGCAGAGGTTATGTACTATGCTGTATAATTTGCATTTCTGAAACGTTTGCCTGGCTTATGATTACATCTTGGTTTAGAAACAAATTTTAACACGCAGTGTTTAAGATGTGCTATTTTGTCTGTTGAAGTTATCTAAGTGAAGCTGGTTATATGCTTTTTACATTATATCTTCAAACGTTTCATACTTGTTAAAAAGTCAAGGCCCAAAATTGTTGAGCATTATGCTGTACAACTGGAATTGAAACAATAGAAGGATGTTACATTTCTATCCTGATCATTATCATAGGTTAGTTTTATAATTGTTTTCTACTGCTTCCTCTTCTGTTTGTCTTTTACTAGGGAAGAGTAAAATAAACGTACACAACTCTCAAACCTGGTTTGTCCACCACAAATGGCAATTTGCCCGAGCACGAAGGTTACACTTAATTTGTCCAGAACGAAGCCAGACTGCAGCAATGCTTTGATCAAGACAGTGCTGTGTATATTGAGACGTGCAGTGAACTGAGGTTAACCCCCTAAGACATATCGAGGCAGCAGCAGTCTTCATCGAAAACACTTTGGACTGTACGGCTACATCTGTACTAGTAAATTAAACGTGCCCCTGACCGTTCTTGGAGACGAACAGGCATGGCACAGCCCACGTCTGTACGATTAAATTCTCGTACTCTCCAAAAGCAGAGTGACTAAATGCAAAATGCCTCTTGGAGACAGTCCCTTGGCCCCGCTGCCTCCTGAGTCACGTCTGGCAGTTGTTTGGGAGAGCTCTGCTTGGTCCGGGTCAAACCCAGGCCAGGCACTGCGCTAACCACGCTGCCTGAGATAACGTTTCTGTGCCCAGGAATGTTCCCTGGCCCAGTTTGTTTTACTAACGCAGATGGAGCGAGCATGTTCCCTGAGCTAAACTTCAGCTCCCTTTTCCCAAACGAGCTATGCTCTTAATAAGTGGTCGAGGTACCTGCCACAGCTCCCTAAATATACTTCCTGCCTTTGTCACTTCTCACCCGTGCAGCGCGGTACTGGATTGTGACGGCAACTATGGACAAAGTACGTCCAAACAGGTATATTAGATTATGGGTGGTAAATTGGGAAGTTTCCCCTCAGCATGTTTCTGAGAGAGCAGGTGCGAAGGGAGATGAAGGGGAATTACCCTGCTGACACTGAGCTGATTCGCAGAGCTGTAATGACGAATGACACATTCCTGAGACTACTGTAATGAAACTTTTAATGAAAGAGAGAAAATAAAATCCCGTCTTCTTGACACAAGAGACTTGTTCGTGGCCCAGTCTGAAAACATATGCCTAGCTTTATTCCTGCAGACGGTTTCCTTGTGTCGAAGGGCTCTGAAGTAAGCGTTCTCCCCAGGCCAGCACCTGGCCGCTCAGTGGAGGTGCGCGATACAGAGCAAAGCCTTCGTCGGTGTGCTCACAGCTTGTCCTACGGGGGTATTTTCATTCCCGCCATCCATGGCTCCAGGCCACGGGGGCTCCGCTTGGTCACAGAGGTTGCCAGTGCAGGAGCAGGATCTTGTTGGCGTTTGGGAAAAGGCAATAATTTCAGAGGACAGCTTGTGTTTTTATTCAAACAAAATTCTGGGTTTTGTTGGCCTATGTAGCTTGCAAGTTAGTTTTGGCTAAAAAAGCAGTTCAAAGCAGTAAAGCTTTGTCAGTGCACTACCCTGTCCTGGTACAGTTCAGCGATGCACTTGTGACCCATAGAAAAAATATATTTTTGAAATGCTTCATTTTAATCTGCTTTGAAATGCTTCATTTTAATCTGCTTGCATTTCCCCAGCAGCATGATACGCCTTTTATATGCAGCGCGCTGTATTGTGGGACAGCACAGGCAAGAATTCTGTGTGCTTCCAGAGGGAGGAGAGCGCCATCATATCTGCCATCCCATAACTGTGCTTGTGTGCCTTTGTACCTACTGGTATCTCCACAGAGACTTTTGGTATCATTTAAGTAGAGTAAAAATGTTCTAGCCTGGTCAGGCAGGGAGATGATGATAGAGGTGTCCGATAGTCCTGATGTCCTACAGACACACCGTCCGTGAGGTAGAACTTCAGACGAGCTCAGCCTCTGCTGTCTTCTGAAGTGTGCGTTTAGGCGCCCCCCTGAGTATACCGTTTCTGTCCTGAGATTGAATTTTGATTTGACTTCTGTAATACATGTGGCCTTAACAGCATATTTTACCAAAAACCAAAGATTATATATACAAAATAAAAAGCTTGCTAGACTGAATAAAGAGTGCTGTTAATTGAATTTATAGAGTAAAAATTCCAGTAATTAACTGTGTTCTTATTACTGCTAGTTTTGTATTAGTGCATTACATACTTGATTTTAGAGGAATGCATGAATTGGAAAGAGTACTTGGGTAAGGGGACTGAGTTCAACGTTTAACGAGTTTGATGTCTTATAATTTCTCAAGTTTCCAGCTTGCAACTGAAAAGTGCAGGGTCAGCGCAGAGTTCCTACCCCAGCCTGGAAGTGGGCATCCCCTGGGCATATAAGGGTCCACCTAGGTAGACAGACATACACGCTTTCGCTGATGCGCAGTGAAGAGTTACAGGCGGGTCAGAGGACCTACCGAACCACGCTTTCAGTATATATGCTTTCTTCTCCCCTGGAAAAAGGCAGACATAAGAGGAACCAGTGGAAAACAATTATAGAAGCAATCAAAAGGTGTGATCAATAAAGAGACAATACAGACAGCTTCTATTATTCACACTCCAGTTATAGGAGCAGGGTGTTGAAGCCAAAAATCCCAGACCTTGAGCTTGTAAAAGAACAGAATCTTAGACTGCATGATCAAGGCCTGTATGTAATGTGTTATTAAAAGTAAATGCTTTTATTTCTATTAAAAGTAAGAATAGCAACAATGGGCCATGCTTCAAGAATAGTGTGGGAAAACACTGGTAAAGAAGCTTATTTTGGTTTCAAGTCTCTAAGGGTTATTACAATCAACTATGTTAATCCTCTGAAAAATACCTTGGATGCAACATTCCGTTTTGGAGATAAGTTACAATGCTTATATTTAGTCATACAGTTATGAGTATATCTACAATTAAAGTGGGTTAATTCATGCGCTCTGTACTAAGAAAATAACACAAGGAACCCATGTTTTTATATTTCAGATATGTCTCAGCTTAGTTCGGCTTTTGCATTATTTGGCTCACTCTCCTCTTGGCTCTGTGACATTACTGGATTTTCGCCCTCGACAATTTGTGATTGTAGATGGGGAATTGAAAGTGACAGATCTAGATGATGCCAGTATCGAAGAAAGTTCTTGTACGAGTAATAGTGACTGTTTTATGGAATTCCCAGCACGAAATTTCACTCTTCCTTGTTCCGTTGAGGGACGTTGTCAAAACATGAATGAGAAGAGGAATCTCTACAATGCCTACAGGTACCTGATCAGTATAACGTAAAAGAGAATTTAAAATGGGCAAAAATTCTGCATTATCATTTACAGTTATTTAGACCAGTGAGCACATATTAGCTCGGATCTGTTATCCAAGAATAAGTTAAGCCATGAATAATTGTTTCATATGTGAAAATACTTTAATGTAGCATTTTTAATTTTGGAAATATTTTGCATACTTTGAGTGTGATTCACTGAGTTAGTCTAGTTTTACATGCATCAGTCGTACAAGTAAAATGTTTCATAAGAGTAAAACTGAGGCCTTGTGAAAATGGAGGCCCATTAGCTCTGCAGCGAGACAGTTCTTAACAACTCTTCTGTGGTGTAAATTCATAAGGGTTTTCACCCTTCTTTTCTCACCAGCCAAGAGGCGAGCTGGCCTCAGAGGCAGAGTTAGCGTTCAGCTTTTCTTGCGTGCTCCGGCACGATGCTCCTGCCTCTCCTGCGCCTGCCTTCGCTCCGACGAAAAACGCTCCCTGGCTCAGCCGCGGCACAGCCGAGAGCGCTGACCCTGTTGCAGCACTCAGACGCCAGTTGCGGATGATCTGGGGCATGATGCCAAGCTTTCTGAAGCAAGAGGGGGCTCCGTTTGCATTCCTTCCCTCCTCCTGCAGCCCCGGTGTCTGCGTGGGGACGCGGTTGATTACTCACTTCCCGTGCTGCTCCCACTCCAGCTTTATGGCGGTGCTGTGCTCCAGAAGTGGGGGTACGTGGGTGACGATCGCCCGTTCGGTCAGAAACTTTGAAGAAAGCGTTCAGCTGAAACGTCCGTCTTCTGAATTTTATTTTAAGGGCTTCCCCAGATTTGCGGCTGAGTTTTTTTGGAGCGATGACTTTGTGTTTGTGGTCTGGGCTCTTCCCTAACTTTGATCGTGCTCCCCTTAGGGCTGCAACTGGAGCCTGGGGGAGCTTTATCAGTAATTGATTCTTAATGCCGGGCTCCGAGCACTGCCGCGGCTTCGTGCTGAAGGGCGCTGCCGAGACAGACGGCCATGGTGTCTGATCCAGATACGATGGTGGAGGATCTCAAAGCAATACCATAATGGTGCGCTCATTCCTTAGACTTCCCTTTCAAGTATCATGCCATTCACTCCCTGCCAGACCACAGCGAGGAGAATCTTCTCCAGAGAGAGTCTTCTGCTTCGGTCCCAGGGCGCTCGCCAGCATGTGTGTTGCATTAGCTGACCACACTGAAGTGGGTTGCGCCACATGACAACCATATGCATTTGCGCAGCGCAGTTATTAGTGTGTCCTGTGAAATTTTCCATTTCCATTTGCTTGGATTAAAGATCCTGCTTAGCTAGCTAGCTTTTCGTTATAACCATTTTACTGGTCTGGCTAAGAAACCTTTAATTGGCATCCATATATCTCCGTCCAATCTAGGGATTTGTCTGCAGTGTGGTGGGCAGGTTGCCGCTCTCGCTGAAGGAAGCAGTCTGTTTCTATTCTAGTCCTTAACACTTCCTTTGAACCGCCCGCCAGGGTGTAACACATGCGGTATCCCAGTGTTTTCAGCCCCCGTTTTTGCTTAATGTGATGGTGGCGGTGGGCCTTTGTTTGGTAGCAGAGTCATACTACAGCAGGCTGCAACCATCCATGATGAAGCATTAGCAGCAATCTCCGTGCGCTTGTCTAGGAAGGTTTTAGTTCAGTTCATTAGATGTAGACTCCTGAATTTCACATTTTCATGCGCTCTGTCGCCATATGGTTAGAAATTAACAGTACTGCTGTCCCCATGCTCAGCAAAGGGTTACTAGTGCTGTTAGCTAGAAGTCAAAAGGAGCACTATATCAAACAACTGCATAAATCCCTTGTAATTTTAAAATATAGCAGGCCCTGGCCTTGAAAAGATAATTATGCTATCTGGCTCGTTTCTTTATGAGGTAAATAATTAAAGGAGGGAAAACATTTTAAAAAAAAACCCTCTGCTATGCAAGAGCTGGTGGTGCACTTTAATTTTCAAATAGTTACCTTCTATCACAAACACATCTGTGTGAGTTTTCCTCCAGCTGTTTGGAGGAACGTTCTTAAAAGCACTTAACAGTTTTGAAAGTAAGGATAATTAATATTTTGAATTGTTAACCAATGGCTGAGATGAATTTCCCATCACTGACAATTCTTAAATTAAGATCAGCTAGTTCTCTGCGGATAAAAAAGAAACGAGAAAAACCCCGTAGGAGCAAATTTAAGAGAATCTGACAGTCCATGTTGTGCAGATCACAAACGATGCCACTGGCCTTAGAATCTATGAATAACAAATGTTCCTGTAATTGAATTTTACAGGCGCCAGGGTCTGTACAGTTCCGAGTTGCACATGTGGGTGTTTGCTTTAGACCAAGTTGTGTATTTATATAGCCAAGGAAAAACAATAAGCTCCATGACTTGCATCTATCCGCTGTTTAGAAAAGTAAATGACAGCTACTGAATGTTTGCAAAGAGCTGTTCACAATCCATTGGTCTCTGCTTATGGATATTCTCTAAGCAGAAAAATGAGGTAAAAATTACCAGATAAATTATTCATTGCAAACGTTATGCTGCTGTAGAAGTCTTTAGACTTCTACATGTATTTATATTGGCTGTTTCATACTCATTTGTGAGAAAACCTACCTGTGGAAAATCTTGCTTGTGAAAATCGTAAATATTTTCTTTTTGCGACGGATGAATTTGAGTCTTCCATAATGTAAGTTAAAATCTCAAGGAAATATTCATTGTGTAGGTGGAATATGTCAGCTCAATAATTCCTGTGCCTGTGGACTTTACTATCAGTAACTCAATTTTTTAATTTATGCTTATGTAAGACATCTGTTATTCTCTCTCATGAGCATGAGTCACTGTAGGTTTCTGTTTGACAATGTGGTCTTTGTATGCGAAAAAACATTTACTTTGCTTTGCACGTTAGATAATAAAGCAGGGCAATTTCCCAATTATGTTACTGTTCTGCTCATTAGCTAATATTTATATCTGATACTTCTGTTTATATTGTCAGATCCTGAACTGTCCACCTCTATCTTATGTTGCCATGACACTGAGTTTGCAGTGGTTAGTAATATTGGCAGAGTAATAGAAATTTAAAGGAATAATGTGAAATTAAGAATGCCTCAGTTAATGTTAAAAAAAAGGCATATGAATTTTTCTTACGTAATTAAAGATATTTTCATTTTACAGCCCCCCTTTTCTAAATCGTAGGAGAGGTGTTTTGTAAGAATATCAAAATTTAAATTCTCTCTCCTGTTAGGTGTTCCCACTGTTTTAGCAACAGTGAGTGAGCCTAGATAGTTTAGGAACAGTCATAAAAATAATCAGTTAGTTTAAGATTGTGAGAAGTATGCCTAAAACTTGCAGACCCTTTTCGATATGGATGTTCTAGAATTGCTATAGTACTTCTATATGTATGCAAAATAGATCAAAATCACTTGAAACATTATAGTTTTCAGTAGAGAATCTACATCCAAACATGACTATCCACATGAACACACCTTGAATTCCGGTAAACGATGAGAACAGAGAAGACATTCTGAATTGCAGGGGCATTCCAGCAATAGGAGAAGGTTTTCTCGTGGCCGTTCATTTTAAAGTCTAAAAAAACTGTAGAAAAGAAAATGATAGATAAATGAAATGAAGAGAAATTTGGCTTATGCGATTTGGAGATTTGAAAGCCCCCCCAAGACTTCTGAGGTTTATGATGTCCTTTTAGTTTGTTGAAGTACAAACAGCTTTGCAAATAGTCACAATCCGTGGGGCTTCATAGCAAATTTCTGTATTAATGGAACATTTACGCGCAGTTACAAGGCGGCCTTGTATGTAACAGCTTGGTCTAGGTATGCCAGACAGCTGTGTGAGTAGTCTCAGCTATATATTTATTTGACTATAGAATATGATTGTATTTCCTGAATAGGTCAGTGGCTTATAAGCAGCTGGAATTCTATTCCTTATATTGTTCAGTAGTTACCAGACATGTGTAAACTTTTTTTTTTTATTTTTCAATATGGGTTACTTTTCCATTGCAGGTTTTTTTTTACGTATCTTCTGCCACACAGTGCTCCGTCCTCACTGAGACCATTATTGGATAAGATAGTCAATGCAACAGGTAATTCCATTAAACTTGGTAATGCCAAATATCCTTTTTTGGTGCGACTGTCATGTTTGGGATGTGAGGGATGCTGCTTTTATGTGTATTGCAATAGAACCAGATTGTTCTTTTATACAGGATAAAATTCTCCCCGAGCAGAGAAAGCAAGAATGGCCCTGAATATCAGTGAAATCATATTTTGAGGTTTTAACTAGGTTTTCAGACACGCATACTCCTTCCTGATACCTCAGCACAAGGGTGGATTGCGTCTTTATATGCACTTCAGTAACAGTTGGGATAAGTGCGTGTGTGGCTCAAAAGTGTGATCCCCCTTTAGTGCAGAATCTCACAAGGACCAGTCCAAATAAAATTCATTCCCGTTCAAGGGGCCAGTGCACAACACTCTGTGGCCTTTTAGTCCCACGTGAAGGGTTGGGTCAGTGTGGACTTAACTGTATGATCTGGAAAGTCCCTGTCTTTGCCAGGGGAAATTTGAGTTATAAAGACAAGATATTTCCCTATCTCCAGTGGTGCTAACTATGCTTTTATATTTCAGAAGCCAGAGGAATTACCCTAGATCTTTGTTAATTACAAAGACAGTGCCTTTGGGACAAGAGTGGTTTGAGTTGTGTATGCATTTTGAGGCTTTTGGTGTCTTGCTCTGGGGGTTTTGTATCTTGTACTATGCCCATTTCATGGGGAAATTTAACGAGGCCGGGCCACAAATAATGAACAAACAAATCCTTTGGCATTCCCTGTATTGTCTAAAGTTTGTCTCTTGTGGGGAGCCCAATGCAGTGATTTCTGCCTGCAGGCCCAGGGTGTCCAGCTGGACTAGTCACCCCTTGGCAAGCCTAGTTACAGCAGGGCTCGTGTCAGGTGTGAAAACCAATTTGGTGGTTACTTTGTAGTACCTAATGAACTTTATATCCACACCGTGAGACCATCGTAAAGTAGGGCACCACCAAGTTCTGATGCTTAGGACTTTATCTGAAGGCAACCTCTCTTTACGTGTGTGAACTTTATTCCTCATCTAAATCATTCTTTTCCTGTGCTTTTAAAGGAGAACTTCACTGGGGAATAGATGAAACAGCTGCTCAGCTAGAAAGAGTTTTGAATTTGTATAAGAGTGGAGAGTACTTACAGAACACTACTCGGATACCCAAAACCGGTAAAGTATTCTTTTTCAAAGTTTAACATCAGAGGCTCTGCTTTGTCTTTTGTTTGAGGTTTGAAAGGGATATTATCCAGAAAACTGGGGACTCAGAGGCTCTTGAAATCATGCACGAGTGCAAGTATGAAATGATTTCAAGTAAGAAATGATTTCAGGTATGCTTCTTGCTTCCTGGGCACTTTCTGAAGCCGCTCACACTAAATAAGGTAGTCAGGCTTCTGTAGGTGCGAGCAGGGTGTGCTGGGGAAGAGGGCAGGGCATGGAGCGTTCCTCTCTGCAGCAGACCTGTGGAAAATCTGTTTCATAAACTTGCGCTGAAAAGTTCAGCGGGTCCAAGTGCTTCCCTACTGTGGGAGTGTGAGAATCCACCCCAAACATGAGCTGATGGGAAGGTTA